AACCGGGCTGAACCGGATGGGAACCGACTGTTCCACTTTAGAACCGGGCTGAATCAGATGGGAACCGACGGTTCCACTCTAGAACCGGGCTGAACTAGATGGGAACAGGCGGTTCCACTCTAGAACCCGAGCAGTTTTCGGTTGGAACCGGCACTAGCACGCATGTTTTCGAGTCAAACCGGGCGAGTCCGGTTCAACTCGCCGTTTTTTAAAACACTGGTTTCAACAAAGGATACCAAAGGTTCATTTCATATATTTTTGGGTAAACCTGATTGGAATGCTCATATACTTTTAGCAAATGTCTATTATTTCATTTAGAAAAGTCCAAATATGAAACAAAAAATGCCTCTAAGCAAGAGTAAAAATTAAGAGAGTATATTGTAGTCAAATGGGCCATGATAACCTATATCCGTCGTCCATTCCCATTGATGGATGGTAGGAGAGTAACTGAACCAGATGAATGACCCCGGCGGTTCCAACTTACTTAATCCCTCAGGCGGAACAGAAGGTGGATGTATCCTTAGGAGCACTATATGCAATGGCGCATTGGATTATGGTATGCATTCCATATAGAAATTCGAAGAGAACAAACACATGCACAAATTACTCACCTAGATACAAGTTCCATCCATCCAATTCACCCTCTCTGATGACATTCCTGAGGGTTGCGAGTCGGTCTTCCACAAAACTGCACACAAATGACAAGTCATCTCTCTCTCTCTCTCTCACATAATCACATAGGCAAACACCTATTTATAGATGAAAAAGCAATAATATTCAGACATGGTTTCTCCTCTGCACCACGTCCATAACTAAAATACTTCAGGCTGAAATATAAGAAAGCAAGAGGAAATCTTACTGAAGTTTCAGTCCAGCATGTTCTGGTTGTCTTTGGAGCTGCTTCAGCACCTCTGGTTTAGGACTGGAAGGAGCAAGAATCCATTGTCAACATAATGCACACTCTAACACTACACACACATGGACAACATAAATTTAATCACACAAGTCAACACCCTACAAAGAAGGGATCAAGTATCTTTGTTTTTCTTCTGACAAGGTTACACATAGGAATGGAACTTGAGACGTTAGACTATAAAAACCTAACCTCTACCGTCTCGACACAAGCCCGTTTCCTACCATGTATCTTTGTTATAAGGTCATAATTACTCCCAGCCATTAGATGTGAAATTGGATAGCTTGAGGCAGATCACATAGTTTAAGAAACGTTTCTTTGAACTTTAAGTCTAGTCAAAGGCGCACATACAACCATCCAATTTGAAATCTGACATAAAAGAGTGATTGTGACCTACTTATATTAACTCTTTGTATACTTTCCTATAAAGAATTCGCATCATTCATTAGTTAAAAACTTTTATGATAACAATGGAACATATATATACCAATCTATACATACTTTCGGACATGCATATACACATACATACATATAAACCATCTACCTGCACACACACACACACACACACACAAAAAGAACCATGCATATAGATCCATGTATAAAGGGAGTCATAAAATTTACAAATGTATACTGACCCAGATCCCAAGCCATAGATCCTATCTGGTGGGATTGTCACATCAGCTAATTCGCGTAGCAAGGCATCAGCAAACCTGCTCTGAAGCATACAACTTGAGACTAAACCACACAATATTCAAAGCAGTGCCTGACAAATAGACACTTAACAAACCAAAATGAAATGCTTCAGTGATCCATTGTTTTCAGGAAAACGAGTTTGTTTTATCAAAGAAGGGTTGTATTAAAATTGAAGAAAAAATAGAAGGAAATTGTAAAACACTAGGGTAAGCCAGCAGGCATATAGTAGAGAAGAATCAGTAAGAGAGAACAAGTGCGCCTTACCCAAAGTTTCTAACATGAATATTAGCCAACATCTTGCTCTTCTTATTTCTAGTTTCTCTTCATCCAATAAATTATCTTTAGGGTTATTACTATTTGTGGAAAGGCGAACCCAACTGATTGAATTTCAAATCTTAATATTTGGCATTTGCCTCGAAGGGCTACTAGAATTGTAAACCGGGGACATGAAACACAGCCTGAGTACGGTATAAGGCATGCAGCTTGACCATCTAGCATCTCCATAGACTTTAGACATGAACCATAGTTCCTGATGGAGAGGGTTAAGATAATTTCCATTATCCAATGTAGACGATGCTAAAATACATCATACATAGGCTGTGTATCTCATACATTGGTTTGTAAACATGTAGTTATCTAGTTGGTCGTACCTGTTTTGTGGTGACAATGTATATAGTTGAACTTGCAAACTTAAGAGCATCTGCAATACCAGGGTAGAATCTGCGTAGACATCATTGGTTCAAGACCTGTGGCCAAGCCTCTATATTCTTGCAAAGCATACTCCAACAATTACACCATCGTGCTCAGACATGCAGTCATGCATATTCCAACAATCACACCATGCTGCTCAGACATGCAATCATATGTGTGCAAGCACGCATGCACAAGAAAAGAGGCGGGGATGCATTGGGATGTTCAAGGTTAGCTAATTTCATTTCCTAATAAACCCCTTATATGCTAGGCATCATACCGATTGGCACCAATCCAGCCTGAAAAGTCCTTTTCTATCCATTCGTCCCTCACTTTTCCAAATAAGCCTATCAAAGTGTCTCTGTCTTCATTCCACTCCTCCATTATGATGGGTTTTAGCTTGGACCAGTTCTCCAAAATCCCATCAATACTGAGCCCAGGTGCAACCTAACAACGCAAACCACAATCACATTAGATGTGAAAATACCTGAATTTCCAGCAATTGTTCCAGTCATTGTTGGGGCAATGCATGCAACAAATAATGAATGACAAAAACGAGAGTTGGCAGCTCATGCATTATCTAATCTCTAGTAATCCAGTTAACTCTCTCTCTCTCTCTCTCTCTCTCCTCCTTATTCTGTGTGTCGTTTGTTGTCTGAGAGTAGTAGACGTAGGTACGTAACTAATAACGTACCTTACGTTAGTTAGTAGTGTAC